GGAGGATTCTGCTACGGGACAAAATAATGCATTCTCTAAGCCAGTCAAATTTTGCGTACATGGCCGACAGATGCCTTTTGAGATAGTGCTCTGGGAGAGCTTCGAAGAGGCTTCCAACATAAGTGGATCACCATTCACCATTGACCAGCTGATGAGGGCACAGAAGTTAGATGCATGGTTTGGTACGGCAGATCACCGGCCATAAATTCGCTCCAAAGAGAATTGTAATAACATTAATATAATGGTAATACGCACTGCATAATCGTTTGTCAAACTCTGTGATTGCATGACCTCCAATTCTCACCGCTTAATCGTTCGTGACTTCTTGCGGAACGCAAGTTCTTGGATGCAATCTACATCTGACCCTCAGGAGCTGGAAGTGACCTTAGGTCCCCAGCTGCTGTACGGTTGAGGGAGTGAAAGACCAACTTCTGGGCGCCATTTGCCATTGAGTACATAAACTTGCCAAACTCATTTTCATGGCATTTTTATCTGAATTTGGACAGAAAGCAAAATTAACTCAAAGGCGTACTCATTGTTATATTTCACGTTGTCCTTTCAGACAACAACCTTGGACGAACCAGAGAAACAGGAGCATATGGTGAGTAAGCTCCGCTACCCGCAGAACGATGCTGACGATATTTCACTGAACTCTCTGGGGAGTGTAGCCCTAATATAACCTTGATTGTAACAACTGACCCTAAACTTCGCGGCTAATTTTGGATTTTAAACAACTGTAAAAGTACGATTTACCATTGCGATATAAATACTAGATGTTTTAACTTGGAGTATTAAGTATATCTATGTTTGCATAGGAACGAGCACCACATGCACATTTTCTGAAGACAACACACTTAGCCGAACTTTGGTCCAATTACAAAGGACCAAGAAGACGATTGTGGCGAGACATTAAGGTGGCAACGTACAACTATCGTATTAGCTATTGCCGAGATTCAGCATCACAAAGCAGAATGGGTGCCATGACAGAAAAAGGTCGGAAGCTGCTTATCGTCCAGTCGATCTGCATAGGATTAGTTGGTATTATTACGCTCCTTAGGCTGCTGTCCAGGTGGTGTACCAAGCACAGAGATAGACTCCGTTTTCGCGATATGAACTGGCGCGAAGATGTCCTGATGGGTCTAGCAACGGTATCTAGCTAAGTCTCAAAAAAATGGATATGGAAGACCTTACTAACTCCGGCAGCTACTCTACGCAACGCTCGCTTATTACGCTATTATTGGCATAGTTGCTGGCGGAATTGGCAAGCATATGTCAGACATCACGCTCGACGAACTTTACCTCGCTTTCCGCTCTTGGCTCATTTGTGAGCTGATTTATGGGCCCTTAAGCGCAATAATAAGAACGTCAGTCGCACTTCTCCTTTTCCGCCTGCCATTATCTACTTATGAGAAATGGGCACTCTATACATGTCTCGGAATGATGTATGCCTTTACCATCATATACTTCTTTATTACTTTATTCCAATGTAATCCACCGCCGTATTTCTGGGAAAGGTTCCATAATTTCGAAATCTCTGGGTCTTGCAACGATCCTCATCGACTCCCTATTGCCGCGTATTGGCATAGTGGGATCGCTGGCTTCAGCGACTTGTTTATCACGGCCCTTTCTATTTGGAAGCTGGTACAGCCAAGATTAAAGTCTAAACAGGATCTCAAAATCAACAGTACCAGAATAGTTATAATTGTCTTCCTCAGTTTCGGAGTTCTGTAAGTTTCAGTATCTGCGATCCTATTCCAGGCTAACGCCCCTCAGAGCAGGCGTGGTAATGCTAGTCCGCATACCATACATTCGAGATATGGATTTATCACCCGACTTTCTCTACGAAACTGTGTATGTCTATTTAGGATCGAATGGAGTTGTGTCCAAGTCTGGCTAACGAAAACCAGTGACGTCGCTATGTGGTCCATTATAGAACCTTCGGTGGGCATAATAACAGGGAGCCTTCCTTCCGTCAGACCGCTCTGGTCGCTCCTCTCTCGGCGCCAGAATGTAAGCGGCATTTCAAGTACGACAATCAGGTCGAGCGAAAGGCCGGCCGAAATAAGCAGAATGCAGACAGATGCGACGAGTCAAGAGTGCCGGGATGGTTCTCACCCCACCGAGCCTTCTGGTCGAAAGCTGCTCCAACCCAAACCCTTTTGGCCGTTGTGCAGTTGGCGTCGAACTGTGGATCAAGGTTCAACTACAACGCCAGACATGAAAGGGGCTGAAAATGGCGGAATATGGACGAGAAGATCTGTTGAGATATCTACGACTGTCCGTCGAACTAGTGGGCCTCCTGGTGGTCTTGTAGATCGAACTTCTTTCTGCGAAATAAAAGCAGAAAGGTGATTAAAGTCTGTGATTTTACTTGAGCCTTTATAGATAACTGTGTATTCATATCTATGGTCTTGCTTTTGTTTATGCTAAGCAATAGTGATAACCAAATGGAACGATACTACTTGAAAAAGCTTGCGGTAAAAGCGTTTGTTGTCTTGGCAGTTGTTGTTATATTTACTATAGTCTGCCTGTGGAAATTCCATAATGGGAAGTCCATTTAAAATGATTGAGGAAGTCAGAGCCGCAAAGGGCCTGATGTAACTGCCATAGATTTTGGTACATTTCAACAAGCTAATCTTGATTCACATATGCAAACCACTGGTCCCGTCATGTTATTCGGGTTGCTTAGTTTAGTCCTGGAGGGGTCTTTTGCTTTGCGTTTCCTAGGAGTAAGACATTCGGGCCACTCTCAAATAGCCCATGCAGCACGACCAGGTAGTAGCAATATGCCTACTCAGGGTTTAATGTGTCAACGTGTTGTCGGGTCAAGGGCAAGCAACTGTCAAGATCAAGTCGCTCATTCCAGCACAATGCTGCCTCTGTCAAGAACACGCAAGCATCACTGCCTAGGTGGCAACTTGCCACTGGCAAGTGGCAAGTGGCTGGAACGTAATACTGCAGCCTAAGCAGCAGTATTCCAGAAGTATTTAATTTCGTATATGTACTTCCGCTTCATTAGATAGAAAATCAAGTGTCATTCATTCTGCCCAAGCTGTACCATACAATCGTGCTGTGTGACAGCACCAACCGAGGTTGGTTCACGCAAGCCACGCAGCTAGATATGTAGCAGTTGTGAGTTGTAAATGCCTGGACCGCTAAAAAGGCATTGCCCTTAGTCGATAATTCAGTTGCATTCAATGTTAGTTTATACATTCCCTGTCCAGGTTGCTAGGCACGAATTCACATCCTCGGGCAAGTTGATCCAACATGAATAACTTGGTTGAGCCGCATTGCTGCCTGATAGCACCTGACCCACAACAAGTGTTGCCAGCAGCCTACACTTTGCAACATCCCATCATTTAATTGGCATGGAGAAGTCTTTCCAGGCAAGTTTCCAACGGACTTTTTATTCCCGCTAGATTGAGAAGAGCTGGAGCAGCAAGGTCAACATCAACATCCGTCCTTGCGTACAAGCCATTCATAATACACTCCCCCCCACCTTTCTCGGCGCGGGGCCTCTTCCCTCCTCTTTCTCGCGTGCAAACGCTTGACGGCTATGGTGATAGGGTAAATTCGGTTGTGTTCTCGCCGGATGGCCAGCGGCTCGCCTCTAGCCCACACGATAACACGATCAAGGTATGGGATGCAACGACGACCGCATGCATACAGACGCTCAAGATCGGGAGAGTAGTAGCTCATCTTTCATTTAATCCGATAACTAACTCTCAGCTCTATACCGATATCGGTTCTTTGAACCTGGATTCATTCCCTGGTATGGATAGTCAGCTGACCGAAACTTCGCCACGAGGAGTGAACCACTCTGGCTATGGCATAAGTCCCGATGGTATATGGATTGTGAAGGATGGTTGCCGCATTCTTTGGGTGCCTCCTGAGTACCGAGCATTCGCCTTGGCAGTGGTGGAGACAACAATCGCAATTGGTTGCAATTCTGGCCGTGTGCTGGTGATGAAGTTCTCTTTGGACATGCCGGTTGCAAGCAGACTCTAGATATCCACAGGTTCATCTGGTCCGAAACAGCCACCAAGGATACAGGAACATCGTTTCCGCGCAGACCTTTATTTTTAGATGCGACCAACAATAACCAGTTGCTAGTGGCCTTTAGTGTCATAGTCCAGCTGTACTTGCTATCTGAAATCCCTCCTTCAAGGCTATGTTAGTACGCCCAGTAACTCGTATGCCTGTTTGTCAGACGGAGTGTAAAATGTTAATCGGAGGGTCCACACCTGCGTTGCGTCCAATTCTTGACCACTCCAAGGGCGAGAGACTGAGCACGGCACCAAACGCGTCGCGTCACGACCTGGCCACGACCAGCTCTTATCTCTCTACCTGCGTTGTATTAGGTACTGCCACTTTCATGCTCCATCCTGCGCTGGTCGGTCCTTGTGTTACATCTCCGATGGTTTGCACCCGCTTGATGTTCTCAATCTCATCCACCGAAACGTCCTTTAACCGGCATGCCACTTGGTGGAAAGGTGATTTGCGTGATGGGTAGAACATTTGAATCCTCGATGTGAACACGACGAAGGGGATTCGTGTCTGGGAGAGTGTGAATGTAAATCCATACCTTGATCTTTCGCCGCCAGTCTCGCTCTTGCACGCTTATAACGTGGGCATCTGCCTCCACTACACTAGCGGCCACTGTGAGAAAGGTTCCAACGATTGCCTGAGCTCCAGTCCTTTGAACAAGGTTGACTAGCCCTAAAAGTTTGTCCTTGCATAGTCTACCGTCAGGAAGCACTTGCCGTTTTGAACAGCTGCTGTGCCGTGGCGGCCGAGCGGCTCGTGAGTCTCTTGAGTTCCATCGCTGCCACCACCCCATTCGAGTCGGCCTATGCGATATGCTGGCGGTAAATGATTTTGGAGTCTATTATCACGCCTTACATCTTGACATGGTCTTTAGGATGCACCGCCTGTCCCTTGACAACAGCAGGCAACTTATCAACTTTTGGGTTACTACACGTAAAGTGCTCGTTTTATCTGCCTCGAACTTCGCGCCGCTCCTCGTCTCCCATTCGATGGCATTTTGTATGATTGGTGCAATGCCTACGCGATTGCAATGAGCCGTTGGGCCCGTGACTCATGCGATGAGGTCGTCAATAAACGCTATGGCTCCCCAGTGGAAGGCGAGGTACTGCCTGGAATGGCATATAATAGAGGGGGAGAAAGGTCATTCCTGTTCAAATGTCTTCGAGTACTCTACGGATCAATAGCGGAATTAATAGTACCTTGACTGTGCCACGGGCTGGCCCTAGGTACACTCATCCACGCGCAAATTATTTAGCATCATAATCGCAACGTCAAAAGGCGGGGTTGTGAGGCGATCCAACCCCTTCTACGGCAGCCTATAGAGGTCAC